ACACCCAGTTCTCCCTGTTCGACAACACTACTCAAGGCTGTACTTTTAATTGTATAAGTCCTGCCCTTATTTGTTCTGAAGAAGTTTCTTATCAGACCTGAAATGTCAACTTTGTTTCTCTCCCTCCAGATGTTGTCGCACCAGCTGAGGTTCTCCAGTAATTTTTGTGTTTGTTTCAGGTTGACAGCAGCTGCAGTATTTTGATTTTATTAAAATAACAAAAATGTGATACTAAAATGTGGTTACTTTTATTCAGTGAATTTTCTTATGTGTGTTTTAATACCTTCAATAAATGTCCACTGCATCCTTCAGTCTATCTCAACGCCTGGGCTTTGACTGGATAATTCAATGCCACAACAGTCAAGGGAATTTCAGTTAGATCTCCTCATGATGAATGTATACAGAATTTGTAAATATATGTCAGTGCATCAAGAGGAATTAATTAAAAGAGGATGAATCCACTGATCCTGTGAGGAATTGACAGTAGCTTAGGTTTTCCTCAAAGACGCTGAAAAGAAATTGAAAATTTAATTTTGAAGTTTTAATTTCAACAACAAGGTATCAATACATACTTGCAATATTAATAATTCATATTGTAGAAGAGTAATTTATCTCAGGTGGTGTACAAAAATAGTTGGATTGGATACCTATTATCCATTGTGTCTGGTATTCAGTTCCGTTTCAGTCTAAGTTGAATTTCTGCCCAGAACAATTAAACTATTGTGCCTCCTGAAGGATTATTGCAATCGAACAAATCAAGAAGATCAAATAACATTATTTTAATATATGTAAGAGTGGGTGGAAAACACTGGATGTTAAGTGGTTGTTGCATACCTAGAGCCTCTTGAATAGAAGCCAACAAGAGTAGTAGATGCTGACTCTACATGAGTATAAGATCATACGACCATGTGATTTCCAAGATTAGTTTTGACTGCTGGAATGGGCGGAAGAGGAATTTCCAGGCTGTTTCGTCCCTGGGTTTATTTGTCCTTTATTGAAGAAGTGATCCCAAATATGATTGGCTGTCCTTTCAATCTTGTTTTTGCGCAAATATGCCATTATTATCAGTGCAAAGGCATTGATGTCAAAATCTCTCTACTGGAACTTGCTGTGCTTCTTTACAAATCTCTAATAATTTGATATTCAAACAAGTTTTGCAGAATGAATGCCAAAGACTGCCTAGGATTTTCAATCCTCTGATTGCTTTATTCAGTGCAACCAGTTAATTTGCTGATTTAATTATTGTACATCTATTAAAATTAATCAATATTCACTAGATTAAAAGGTACAAGGAAGTCCAGATTTAATTTCCAATACAGGTAAATGTTTGCACCTCAATGTAATGTCCTTGCATTAACAGAATCACAGATATGTTATGGCAGGAGAAGGCTTTTGGCCCGTTGTGTTTGTTCTGTCTCTCCAAATGAGCAGCAATGCTCCTGCCTTTATCCTGTACCCTTGCTTTTTATTTCTATTAGATTAACCATCCACTGCCCTTTTGAAAGCTTCAATTGAGTCTGCCTTGAGAGAGTGCATTCCAAACCTGAACAACTCATTGTGTGACAAGGTCTTCACTCACATCACACTTGAAAATTTTTCAAAAGACTCTAAACCTGTGCCTTCTCACTCTCGATACTTGTACGACCGGAATGTTTCTTCATATCTAATGATAATTATGAAGAATTCTGTCAGATCTCCTCTCAGCCTTCTTCTCTCCATGGGGAACAGTTCTCCAACCTCTCCAATCATCCTCACAACCAAAGTGTCTCATTTTTGGAACTATTCTTTTAAACCTCCCCTGCACTTGCTCCAATACATTCACAATACTTCAGCTGAGGCCCAAGAAGTATTGTTTGTAAGTTCAATGTAACCTTTTTGCTCATGCGCTCTATGTCACTAATAATAAAGGCCAATATACTTTATTAACTGTTCTCTCCACCTTTTATGATCTGTATACAAAACCATCCAGATCCTTCTGCTCATCTACCTCTATAAGAATTGTACCTCTTATTTTGTAGAGTCTGCCCATGTTATTCCTACCAAAATGCATCACCTCACACCTCTCTGCGTTGAACTTCATTGGCCAAATATCTGCCCAGTCCACCAACCTGTTTATGTCCTTTGGATGTTCTACACTGTCCTCCTCACAGTTTACAATTCTTTCAAGTTTTATACCATATTCAAACTTTGAAATTGTCTGCTGCATACCAATATTTAGATCATAAATGTGTATAAGGAAAAGAAAGGGTCCCAATACCAGCCCCTGGGGAGTCCACTACATACAGCCCAAAATAATCCATTGGCCATTACTCTCTGCTTCCTATGAGTCAATTTTACATTCATATTGCTACTCTCCCTTTTATTACATGACCTATAAGGTTTCTCTAAGTCTGTTGCATACCACTGTACTTAACACCTTCTGGAAGTCCATGTGCACCTTCATTGGCCCTTTCTGCAGTGTCTCAAAAACCTCTTACAGTAATTGAGTTAAGCACAATTTCCCTTTTAGAAATCCATGCTGGCCCGTCCTAATTAACACACCTTTTACCATGGGACCATTAATTTTATCCTGAATAACGATTTCCAGAAGCTTCCCCATCTCCAAAGTTAAACTGACAGATCTGTAATTGCTGGGCTTATCGTTACAACCTTTTCTGTACAAAGGCACAATGTCTGCAATTTCTCCAGTCCTCTGTTACCTCCCTTGGGACTAGAGAAGACTGAAAGTGTTTGTCAGCGACACTGCAATTTCTACTCGCGTCTTTCCATATCATTGTGTGCATCTCATCCGATCCCGATACCCTGTCAACTTTCAATATCAACAATACATCCATCACTTCCGCCTTATTAATTTTGAATGCTTCTAAAGACAGAGTTCCCTGTTATGTTAGCATGGCCTGGGAGCATATACCTCTTTAGTTAAGACAAGTGCAAAGTATTCATTTCCTACCTCAGCCATGCCCCTTGCCTCCACGTGTAAATTCCCTTTGTCAGTCCTTAATTGGCCGTTTGCCTCCTTTGACCATACTTCTACTGTTTATATGCCCGTAGAAGCCTTTGGGATCTCCTTAATGTTAGCTGCCAATCTTTTCTCATATTCCCTCTTCAATTTTATAATATGCTTTCCATCAACTTCTAAACTCTTTGTTTTCATCCTTGTTCTCAATTGTATGCTTTACCTAACATCTGTAATAAACATTCCTTTTCTTTTTTTTTCATTCATTCAGCCTTTGTTGTCCAGGAAGCTCTAGATCTGTTTGCCCTACTTTTCTCTTTTGAGCGAATATGCCTTGACTGGAGCTAAACCTTTACTTTTTTGAAGGTTTATGAAGGCACATTGTGCTGCTTCAGTTCTTTCCACCAATATTTTCTTCCATGTTATTTGGTCCATCTCTATTCTTGTGGCTCTCCTCTGGTTAATTATTTTTACTGTGGATTGACCATTCTCATTCTCCAGCATCATGTTAAACTTTACGATACCGTGAACACTGTCTCCAAAATGTTCCTCCACTAAAACTTGATCCACTTGGCCAACTTCATTCAAGAACTAACTGCACCATTGCATCTTTATTTATCAGAATGGACACACACAGCTGTGAGAAATTTTCCTGAATACCATCTAGGCACATTTGTCCTTCTCTGTCGTTTACACAGTCATGGCCCCAGTCTACATTTGGTTAGGAAAGTTCCCCATTATCACTACTGTATTATGTTCACAGCATTCTACAGTTTTTCTGCAGATTTGTTCCTTTATATCCTTCTGACTAGTTGGTGGTCTATAGAGTACATTGAGCAATGTGTTTCCATCCTTTTGTTTTAAATAGCCAAATTGATTCCATCAATAAACTCCTTGGGACATCCTCTTTCTCCAGCACTGCAATGATCTTCTTAACCATTTCTACCACTCCTCCTCCTTTCCTCCCTTTTTTTGAATCTTTGTTGAACACCTTGTGCACAGGAACATTTGACAACCCTTCCCAGCTTTTCTTGATCCAGGTCTCTATTATTGCCATTACATCATATTTCCAATAAAACTTGCTTCCACCAGGAATGTTTTCCATTCTATTTGCTGTAGGGCAATGGGCCTGATCTTCCACAGTCTATAAACTCTGCAGTTGGCTGAAGGAGGTTTTCCAATCTCACACTTGCCACCTGTGATACCAGTGGCACAATGTTCCAGGAGGCAGTGTTCTCACTATTTGGCTCCATGTTCGCCATTCCAGTCAGGACAGAAGGTGAACCTTTGGCGCTGACAGCCCATAGATAGTCAGGAGCTCTAAAGCCTTGGCAGTGCCCTCAGGAGGGAGGGCTGGATGCAGCTGATTGAGGCAGACAAGAATCACAGGAACGCTTCAACAGAAAGACTTGCCCACAGACAGCCCAATGGGACAAACTGGACAAAGTGGCAAAGGACGCAAATTATCTTGCACACTTCAAAATGGAGTTTCAAGATGGCCAACACATTCCCGTCGCGTGACCCATTTTTTGGCAGGTTTTTGCCTCTGGAGAGGGGGACTGCTCCTTTCAGCAGGGATATCAGGATGGCGAGGACACCTATCTGCATCCCCTTTTCACTGACAGAGCTGCAGTCCTTCATTCCCAGAGCATCAATGGAGCATGGAAAAGTCAAATCTGATGTCCCCCTGACCTACCACCAGAAATTTGCCTTGAGTCCACATGTCTGAGGGGTTACTTTGACATTGTCAAAACATTCGTAGAAGCTCTAAGTAGCCCATGGAATTGGGGCCTTAATCCACCAAATTGACTGACTGCCTCAATGGAGCGGGTAGCTGACTCAGTTACCAGACTGTCCAAAAAAATGCCCACGTTGGCAAGAAAGCAGCTCCCCGCCACTTTCCTGGCTCCTCCATCTCCAACCCTGACATGATGGCCCAGCAAAGTCCAGCCCATGGTCCCCACCCTTCAATGCATGAAAAATACCCCTACTATACATAGCATCCTCTAATGCATTGAACTGAGAATAGGTTTTATGTACTCACCATCTGCAATGAGATGTTCTGGGACATGGAGAACAACTTTGACAGACAAAGGACAGTTCAGGTGTGAGCCATAAACCAGTCCAATAACACAGCCGATCACACTTATCAGTGTGAGGGTAGTTTTGTTGACAGGGCTGCGGGGAGAACCTGCAAGCAAGAACCAAAGGGGGAACAAAAATTAGTTACCAATGCAATTGAAATTGAACAGATTTGTGTTTTGATAGTGAGGAGAATAAAGAACCTACTTCACCACTATTTATTGCAGAGGATAGGTAGCAGTAATATCCAAATGAGTGCAAATCAATATCCATAATAGCATAAATCTAAGAGCAACATATAGCAAATTCACACAAACATGAAATATTCTTGGTTAAATACATAGTCCAGGCTAATTTAGGTTTGTGGGTGCAGGAATCTAAAATACCCCTCCGTATCACTAAGAGAGAGGGGAGCAATTGTCAGATAGCATTTCTCCTGTAATTGTAATATAGTGACTATTTCTGGAATAAAAACAGGAACAGTTTGTCTAAATTGGTCAACAGCCTACCTACAATCTTACCCCAGTCTGTCATCTTCCCCAAGTTTAATATTTACCCCAGTCTATTATCTTATCAAGCCTTTTATTTTGTGCCAATCTATTATTGTACCCCAGTGTATAATCTTATCCATGTTTGATAAAGTGCTGTGAAGGGTGGGGTAAAGAAAGAGGATAAATAACTACCTGTCAAAGTTGTTGGACTTTATTGAAACTTGACAAACAATCTAAGTCACACAGTCACGAAATCATACAGCGCGGAAACAGACCCCTCGGTTCAAGCAGTCCATGCCAAACATAATTCCAAATTAAACTAGTCCCACCTGCTTGCTCCTGGCCCATATCCCTCCAAAATTTCCCTACTCATGTACTTATCCAAGTGTCTTTTAAACATTGTAATTGTACCCCCATCCATCACTTCCTCAGAAAGCTAATTCCACACACGAACTAACGTCTGTGGAAAAAAAAATTGCCTCTCATGTCTTTTTTAAATCTCTCTCTTCTCATCTTAAAAAATGTGCCCCTATTTTTAAAATCCCCCATCCTAGGGAAAAGACAACTACCATTAACTTTATCTATATCCCTCATTATTTTAAAAACTTCTATCAGATCACTTCTCAATCTCCTACACTCCAGTGGAAAAAGTCCCAGCCTATCCAGTCTTTCTTTATAGCTCAAACCTTCCATATCCGGCAACATCCTGGCAAATCTCTTCTGAACCTTCTCCAGCTTGATAGTATCCTTCCTATAACTGGGCGACCAGAACTGGACACAGTACTCCAGAAGAGGCCTCACTAATGTCCTGTACAACCTCAACCTGACTTCCCCTCTCCTATACTCAAAGGACTGAGCAATGAAGGCAAGTGTGCTAAATGCCTTTTTAACCACCTTATCTATATGTGACACAAATTTCAATGAATTATGTACCTGAACCCCTCGGTCCCTCTGTTCTACAACACTACCCATTAATTGTGTAAGCCCTACCCTGTTTTGTTGTACCAAAATGCAATATCTGGCATTTATCCAGATTGAACTCCTAAGTACTTAATCATAATGAGAGAGGTTTGTGGAAAATCATTTATTGTTATTCACAAATTTCTACAGCACTCTCAATAATTAAGTACATTCAGAAGGCAATTTACAAGCTGGCAGAAAAAACTGTTTGATGATGCTGGTTCATGTTCCACATTCTCCATTCTAGTTTAGCTGCACCAGAGTGTATATATTGATGACACGAGCAGGGACGAATGCTGTGCCCTTATTTTAGACAATGATCTGAAACATTCAGTTTTGATAACAGCAAACAATATTCTGAAGTGCAATTTCACGACTTGTCCTTCAACAATGAGCAGGATCAGACGGCAGAACAGAATCCACCAGGATGTTGGACCACGTTTCTGCAATGATCAACATACTGGCCTGAATTCCCACTGCCAGGGGCAAAGTGGCAGTTAACTGGCCACCATTTGGACTGCCATTTAATTAGCCCCAATTAAAGGGCTGGCCTTTCATCAGTGCCCTGCAAGCAGTGTCAATGCCAATGCCGTCGCCAAGGTGTGGGAGCCTCAGTGCCAAGGCACCTCTTCTCTGGGAGAAAGCTGAACAAGGCAAGTCAATCCCAACAATCTTCCGGGTGGAATCACGACAGTGGAGCTCCCCTGGGAAAGAGGGTGGTCATTGCTGCCATTCCCTCTGGGCCTTGGAGTCACCATCAAATAAGGAGTCACCCCAAAAGCCCAATGCGAGACCGCAAGGCTGTATTACAGAGATTCCTGCCAGTGGCCGTGGGAAGACATCAAGCTCCAATTCTGTATCTTTCCCTGCCTCATTGCCAACTGTACTGTCTTCCAGGACATCTTCAGTACATGGGGAAAACTTTACAGTTAATTAGAGGCTCCAAAAAGATTTGAAATAACCCATGTAGTTTTATTCAGTTTGAAAATATTGTACTGAGGAAAACATTGTTTTCTGTTTAGGACCATTTAAGGTACATTCTTGATTTCAAAACTCTTCAGATAATATCGGTTCATGCAACTTGCTCTTAGTTATCCCTTCAGCTACATGAACAGCATCTGAGCTGCCAGTCCTGACTTAACAACATTAATGTCTGAACTTAGAGTCCATGCTAAACATATAATATGCATGGTTCACTTTTAAATTGTTCCATTTGGAGATGTAAGCTGATAGGTTCTTATGAAAACCTTTCAGGGAGGTTTGATAATTCAAATTCAGAGCCCACATTATCATTCTTCAATAGAGCCTGAAATTGTTCCTAGTGAGAGCTGCCTGCACCATGATAGCCCAGCATGGGGGAGTCACCTCAACAAGGAACGTAAGTACAGTGTCAAGCACACATTACCTTTTTAATCAGCATCTAATCCAGGGCATCAGTTTGTTTAATGTGTATCTATGATGGGGACATTTTGAAGCCATTCTGAACAACAATTACTTGCACAGACTTGTTTAAATCCACGATTGCGACTTTATTATACAAGATTCTCAGGAGACGTGAGAGTTTGGATGCAGAAAGGTTGTTTCTCCTTATGGGAGAGTTCAGGACCAGAGGGCATAACCTCAGATTAAAGGTTACACATTTAAAATAGAAGTGGGGTCAAGTTTCCTCTCTCCCAGGGGAGTGAATCTGTGGGTTTTTAAACTGCAGAGGCCTGTTGAAGAAGGGTCATTAAGTTTACTCAAGGCTGAGGTAGACTTGTTTTTTAATCAGTAAGGGAATCAGGGGTTACGGAGAAAAGGCAGGAAAGTGAAGCTGAGGATTATCACATTAATCATGAATGGTACAGCAGACTCAATGGGCTGAAAGGCCTACGTCTACGCATATTTCTTATAGTCTTTATCAAGTAAGGTAGAATTTTCCTTGCAGAACACCAAGTTCTATCATCAGGCTGAAATGGAGATTAGAAAACCACTCTGTGTGATGTTTTTCCAAATTTGCCAATTAATTTCAGAGGGCAGTTCTCCCATCCAGTTAAGGATGGTGCAAGGGCAAAGTGTTGAGGCTAGAGGCTCAATAGGAGCCTCACCAAAACAGAAGAAACAACCACCTTCTATTCAGTTAGATGAGGGGAAGCAATGGCCTTGTGGTATTATCACTGGACTGTTCGTCGAATAATCACAGAATCCCTACAGTGTGGAAACAGGCCAATCGGCCCAACAAGTCCACACCACCCCTCCAAACAGCATCCCAACCAGACCCATCCCCATCCCCCTACCCTTTCCCTGTAACCCTGCATATCCTATAGCTAGTCCACCGAACTTACACACCCTTGGACACTACGGGCAATTTAACATGGCCAATCTACCTAACCTGCTCATCTTTGGACTGTGGGAGGAAACTGGAGCACCCAGCAGAAACCCACGCAGATGCAGGGAGAGTGTGCAAACTCCACACAGACAGTCACCCGAGGGTGGAATTGAACCTGGTGCTGTGAGGTAGCGGTGGTAACCACTGAGCCACCGTGCCGCCTCTTATTCTAGAGACCCAGACAAAGTTCTGGGGACCTGGGTTCAAATCCTGCCATGATGGAATTTGAATTTAATAAAAATAATCTGGAATTCAATGTGTAAAATAAGACCATGAATCTGTTGCTAATGTTTGGGAAAAACACATCTGTTCACCAATGTCCTTTCGGGAAAGAAAATGCCATCCTTAGCTGGTTTGGCCTGCAAGTGACTCCAGACCTAAAACAATGTGGTTGACTCTTCACCCCACCCACCGAACCCCTGGCAATTAAGGATGGGCAATAAATGCAACCTGGCTAGCAACACCCTCTTCCTGTGAATGAATTAAAAAAAAATGAGGAGAGGTCAATCCGAAGCTGAGGCTCCATTCTCTTTTTGAAATGTTAAGTAAAAAGTGTGCCCAGCATCCATACCACCAGTTTGTAGCTGCAGCTGAAGCCAGGCAGGCAAGGAGGGTCTCTGTGTCTGTCTGCAGTCGTCATTGGCAGTCAGGGTCAGGGAGAGGCATCATGGACCCTTCTGAAGAAGGGTCCTGACCCGAAACGACAACTTTCCAGCTCATCTGATGTTGCCTGGCCTGCTGTGTTCTTCCAGCTTCACACTGTGTTATCTCCTTCTGAACACTAATTTGATCCGTATTCACCAGACAGGATGGAGCTAATCAATCCCTGATGAGCAATTATCAGACTATTAACATTCCACTTTCTTACTGTACACAGTTACGTTCAATAAATTTGTTGCTGCTCACTTACTAGAGTGAAGATATCACATTATTGCACTTACATCTGATTGAAATGCTTGCGTTATTAGCCATTCCTGATGGAGCAAACTGGATTCGTCCGATATCACTCAAAACTGTTATTGAAGAGCTTTAGTAATTTGTTTCATGTTAAATTTTCCTTTGAGTAAATAGTCGAAAACTGCTCAGTAACTGCCAGAAGTTTCACTACTGCTTCCCACCCTAGTTTTTCTGCGTTTTCTTCCCTGTAAGGGATCAAATTTACTTTGAGTGTTTGGTAATCAGTCCCTCTTCAGGATAGTTGATTTGAATTTATCCCCTTGGCTACATGCGGGTTATCCCCTTGGCTACATATGGGTTATCTCCTTGGCTACATGCGGGTTATCCCCTTGG